CACATTTTTTTTGCACATTTGTCTTAGACTAACAATACCATGCACTCACTCTTAAACACATACAGAGATCTCACATTTTACTGTTAAACTAGTGAGAAATAGTTGTGGGTGTGATGTGGACTCTTTCTAATCCCTTGCTCACCTACAGGTGTTAACAAATGTCCTGCAGACAGCAAGTGCAGAAAGTGGACCGACGTTTATCCCACACCCATGTCCATGTGTGAACAAATCTGGTCCAATTCCTACCTTTATACCACCTACTCCAAAACCTCGGGCCGCTGCATGCAGCTCTGGTTCAATGGGACAAACCCCAACAAAAAGGTAGCTGAGTACTACCTTAACAACGCACAGCAACCCCAAAGCTTTGCCTTGACAATGCTACTTGTTCTGGGTTTCTCATCTTTATCGGCAATGATGTACTAAAATGATCCATTCTTGGACCTATACTGTGTCATCTCTGAGGTACCAATAAAACTGATTTCAAATGTTCTCCTGTCTCCTTTTTTCTTGTCCTCTTTTGAGCCACTGAGCTTCCTAATTGATAGTAAGACCCCTCTCATTAGCAATCTATATAAACACAAAACCAAGATTATAAAATATAGAAATCATAAATCAAGGCAAAAATAGGAAGAAATATGGTAGATTTAAAAATCTGTGAGGGCTAAGAAAACAAAATAAAATAAAAAAACATCTGGACAAGACTTGAGGGGAAATGCCACATAATGTATTACTGCACAGCTCTGGAATGACATTTTCTCTTAAGTACAAACTATGGATAGGTTTAATAACCTCTTCATAACCTCAGCCACCAGTGATGAAACAGTAAAACTGACCCAGGATCCGCACTGAGGGAAAATGTTTCTCTACACTGGGCCCCAGTGATCACACCATCACATGACCGCTCTGGGCCAGCTAGTGGTTAGTGGGCTCCACTGCCTGGTAATTATGGAGTTCCAGTCCCCTGAGTGTGTGTGTGTGTGTGTGTGTGTGAGGGAGAAAGAGACACACAGAAAGAGAGAGAGAGAAAGAGAGTAAGCTTGTCTTGAAGTCTCTAGGTGTGTTTATGTGTGAAAGTGACAGGCATGCATTTACAGATGTGTGTCAATGCCACGTCTGTCTATGTTCAGGTCTTGGTCCTGTGACTGGTTAGCTGGTGTGTCTACAAGATGTGACCAGAGAGGACCTTGACTGAAGTCTGAGATATATATTTAGAAACTTTTGTTCACTCTGTACTTTCATAATCAAGGCCAGAGATAATTAATCTTTTAAAAAGACATAACTGATACAGTCAACAGTGTCTTATTATTTTGAAAATGAAGCTTTACCTTCTGACAGAGATCAGACGTGTCAAAGTGCTGCTTAACTTCTGAGGCTGATAATAACATCCTTCCTGATGATACCGCTGCATAATTTAGCATTGCAAGTTTAGCTGTGAATGCTCAACCAGTCTTTCCTGTCTTATTTCTCTGCATGGACTGCACACATAAAGCTCTTGTACAACAAGAGAAGTGGCCTTAGGAGCATCCATTTGCAGTAGTTATAATAATAATAATAGTGCAGCCATAATTGGTTTTGTTAAAATATGAGCATAATAATGCTACAATAGTTTCTGTGATCAGAACACCTGAAAGAATACTTAACCTGGGTTTGAACAACAGATGTTTAAACAAACATCATCTTCTCCTCAATGTACACAATGCTGTTCCCACTTACCTCTAGTATAACATCTATGGATGCTGACTGAAAGTGACAAGTGTAATTTACACACTAAAGAAACAGAGCAATAATAGCTAGTGTTGTAAGATTTGGTTATGTAAGGGCAAAAATGTTACCAAATTAATATTATTTGTCTAGCTATTTTGGATGATGGATTTTAGTTGATGTGAGGCATCCAAATTTAAATTAGAGCTACAATTAATAATTAATTTCAGAATAAGTGAATCAGATAATTATTTTCTTGAATAATTTTTGGTTTATAAATAGTCAAGACATTTAAAAAAAAAGTCCTTTCTGATGGATAGTTCACTTTTCAAATACTTACATAATATTTTAACATGTCAGATATTTAAAAGTATTATGAGCCTATTGTATGGAGGTTGATTTGATATCAACAAGTCAAAAAACTGGAAGAATACACTGTGCATGCTGTGACACACATATTGTGCTAAAGGTTATGCTAACATGCTGCCTTTATGGCTAGGAATACTGCAGAAAAGGACTGCTGAGCTCGACAAAGTAAACCTAGACTGTTGAAAGCTGAGCCAAGTATAACGGTGTAAAGTTGAGCCTGAAAAGCTGATTCTGAGATGTCCACACAGGATAGTGTGGCTTCAATACAGCAGCCTAAAGCAATCCTTTCATGGCCACTGTATTGTAGTCACAAACTTTAAAGAGTAGGAAAGGTTGTTGTTCATCCAGTCTCGCCATGGCAATACACAATTGTGGTAGGATGTGAAAGAGAAAAATTGCGCAAAATTAGTTATTTTTAAGATGAATTGCTAACAAAGCTGTTTTATTATGATGTGACATCTTGCAGCAAACTTCCACGATCTCAGCATGCAGACGTATTGTTAAACCACACTCACTTTTACAGTCAACTCACACACGCAGGCATATACAGAGTGATGCCATAGCCAGAAATAGCTTTGGGATGGCTGCTGTCCCTGTGGCTATTAATACTCTTGCTTTTCTGAGGTCATTGGCAACACACACCACCCTGCCCAACTCTCACCCTCTCTCTCCCTCACTTTAACTCTACTTCTCTCTTGATTTATGTGTGTGTGTGTGTGTGTGTGTGTGTGTGTGTGTGTGTGTGTCCATACCACATTATAGGAGTCAGACATTTTGTAGGAAACTTGAGGAAGAAAAAGTCAGAATAATGTGCAGTGATGTCTAAATGTTGGGTTGACTGCTTCCTGTGTTTTGCCAGTCTGGTGTCTAGGTGGACAGTTACACCTTGTGGGAGTGTGTGTGTGTGTGTGTGTGTGGTCTGGAAAAGAAAAGGATTGCATAACTGGATTGGAGCTTGTGTTGAGAAACTACTGCAGCCCCTGGCCTCCTCAGTAGCTGCAGGTCACACTGATATTCAAAGATTCGAAGAGGAAAGCCCCCTGGTAATAGTAGGGGGATTTAAGGCTACAACTCAGAGCCATGATACAACGGTAGAGAGGAAAACAACGTTTATGAGGATGTGTTATTTTAAAGAGAAGGTAATGAGATATCAGAAGCTGCACTACATTGTAGTCCACATTGCTTTTTATCCATATGAGAAAAAAGTTGATTTAAGTTATCAGACAATCCTCAGTTTATTCTAAATAGTGTAAGCCTACTTAAAGCGATAAGATTACGGAAACATGAACCTATGCCAGGTACCCACAGGATATAGGATTGATAGGTACTCCAACAAAGGGGTAAACTGAACTTCTACTCCTCTTCTTCAGTGGTGGAAAAAGAACTCACATCCTTTATGTAAAAAAAAAACCTACGAATACCACCAAAGTAAAAAGGGACAAGTAAAATTCCTGTATTTAAAGTGTTATCTACGTAAAAAAGTACATAATTTTTATGAGAAAAATGCAGTTAAAGTACCAGTACTCAGAATGAGCAATGGTACTTTCAGATTGTTTTAGTGCATATCATATTATTGTTATTATTATTATTATCATAAAAGATGCATTAAGGTGTGCAAAGCATCTTAATCTTGTTACTCAAGGTCAAGGTGCAACTAATTTTAACTACTATACACACTGCTGGGTTATTCAATCATAACAATGCACTATGCATGCACTGAAGCTGCAAAGTAACTAGTAACTAAAGCTGTCAGATAAATGTAGTGGAGTAAAAAGTAAAATTTTTTTAATGAAGTGGAGTACAAAGTTGCATAAAATGTAAGTACCTCATAACTGTACAGTAGATGAGTTAATGTAGTTACTTTCCAACCACTGCTCCTTTACTCTAATAGTCAGTTTACTTCTCTTCAATGTGTGCGTGTGTGTGTGTGTGTGTGTGTGTGCCTCGATCACTCACTGTCCCTCAGGTTGTGGCATGTTAATATATACTGGGCAGCAAGGTGTGCCCGCTCTCCTTCTCCTGGGGATTTTTCATTTATTATGTCATTTAGGCCTTTGAAATCTGTGATTACAAAGTTTAATTTGTTAAAATATCCTTATATTATCGAATGAGTTACATTGTAAAACTCTCTTTATCCATCCCAGTGTCTCTTTATCCCTCCATCCCTCCTCCCCAGAGCTCTGTCAAGCCAGCTACAGATCGGCATAACGGAACATAAAACTGCGGTTGTCTCTGTCACAAAAATAAAGTGTCTCAACGTAAACCCCTCAAGAACTGTTTTATTCTGAAAAGCCCGACAGGAAGTACTGTATAATGACACTATGTGGGGTTTTGACGCGTCCCCGCTGTTGGTCCCCGGTCTCCAGTGTGGATTTACATACCCTGATTTCCGTGGGACTGGGAAGCGAAAGAGGAGGGCAGTGAGCCTTTCAGGAACTGAGGAAACCGCCGCAAGCAGCGTAATTTAACAAATGTACAACTTTTAGCCCCGTCCTCGGTCCTCGGTCCTCTCGCACCGTAAACCTCCGTCGGTACAACCGTCCGGATTATTTCTCTCGTCTGGAGGAGGACCGGGAGCTTTTCTTTTTACGGAGAAGTCTGGAAGCAACTTGAGTTGAACCCGGTTTTTTGAAGGGCTGTGGCCATGGCCGGGGGTGTTGGTGGTGGGGTTTCTCCGCTGGGGCCCGCGCCGCCGATGTGGTATCACCGGGACCTGAGTCGAGCTGCGGCCGAGGAGCTACTGGCCCGGGCCGGGAGAGACGGCAGCTTCCTGGTGCGGGACAGCGAGAGTGTCAACGGGGCTTACGCTTTGTGTGTGCTGTAAGTAACTTCATCCACAGCAGAAGTTTGTTTGAACTCTTAACGTGTGTGTGTGTGTGTTGTGTCGTGTGTGTGTGTGTGTGTGTGTGTGTGTGAGGCCTGGTTTTTGCTTTGTCTGCCAGGAACATGTATGGCTTGTTTTTTTTATTTTTATTTAAAGGGTATTTAAGTTAACAGCTAGTTAGGACATGCTTTCAGGGAATCGTCGCTGCCCCAGTCTCTACAGGCTTTTCTAACTTATACATAAACTTTTCCTGCAGCAGCAAAACTGGCATTTATTTGCTGTTGCATGAGATCAAATTGTGATTGAAGCCTGCGTTAGCTAGTGTTAAACAAGGATTTCAGCCATACGCATTTGTTTACTTTCTCCTGGAAGTCAGTGAGTGGGAGAGAGAGAGAGAGAGACTGTCTGTCTGTCTGTCTGTCTGTCTGCCCAGCAGTGAGACTCCAGCATGGCACACAACTTTAGGGCTGTTCCTGTCTGTCTTGTGTCTGATGTGGTCGCCTGCAGCTCCGTTTTACAGGGCACTGAAACTGAATGGAGTTAAATATAAGGATCTATGGGCTGGCGAGGCCTTGCTGATGTTTTAATTTAAGGCTCATATAAGATCAGTGTAGTTGGAAAGAGTTACACACACTATCTACTCCCACTGTATATCATAAAACAGGAATAATCTGTTTGCCAGGGGCAGTATAAACTTTGTTTCGGAGGGAGTTAGAGGGCCTGGCATCCTCCTGAAACTCTGTACACCTGACAGACAGTTTAAGTGTAAAGTACTGTGTTCACTTGACAGTGACTCAGGCAAATTTAATGAACTGTGGAAAAGGGATGTTAAATGTACAAATAACCAGTGACTCACGCCCCCTCCCCCTCCCCCGAACGCCTACACAAAGTTAAACAGATGTAAAGACTACTGATTGTGCAGATGCAGGAAATAAAAGGCCTATGCCATGTGACACAATACTCTGACATTGACTCGACCTACATCCCCTATCTGGTAGTTTACCCCATGCTGAGTTCATTGTGTGTGTGTGTACACTTAGACAGGCCCACTCTCATGTGAACACATTACTCCTCTTGTCATATAACCGCTCAGAAAAAAACAGGGCTGCAACCCGTTTTGGCTCGCGGCCTATACAAGATCAAAAATGATTAATAAAGAGTGACAAATATCTATTTTCCTATCCTTTGCTGGATGCACTAGTAATAGGTCCCTCTATGACCAACAACATTCCTCACATCCATGCATCATCCGTTTCCGGATTTATTCCCGCCTCCACCTCTCCCTTCCTCTCCCCTTTCACCTTTCACATCGTGGACTTTGTTTCATCTCGGAGAGTTTCCTCCGTGTTGCCTAAAGCTTGTTATGGTCAGGTTTTAGCCAAAATGTGCTTTACAATCAATTTAACTGCTTTTTACGAAGACGTTTTTTGACCACATATAAAAAAAAAAAGTCATAACATTAACAAACAAGATGACAAATACGGCTAGAATATTCTTATTATTGTAAATATATGCTGGCACTGGATCCTATGGTTATTTTGTAGCAGTCATAGAACAGGCACTAACATGGACTGAAAAATGTAATCATCCTCCTCATTACAGCCGTCATCTTCTTCATTCGCTGTTAGTAATTACAGGTGGTCGTAGTTGTGGTAAGAGATTTTTGTTTTCTTATGTTGACATTTAAATGGATGTTTCACCTACCTGTAATACATAGAAAGTAATATATAAAACAACAGAAACGGTTACATAATTAAACCATTTACGGCTTTTAAATAACTCAATTTCAGTGATTTTAGAGACGTATGCAAGGCAGTTGTTTAATATTGTGATTTGCTCTTGACACAGTTATTGTCATTCAGTTCTCATTGAGCGATCCAGGCTAAAGTCAGTGATCATTAGGATACTCTTTTTGTATGTTGTTTACCTTAAAAGAAGGAGACATATCTGAGAATAGGTGAAATAAAGGCGATTCCAATGTGCTCTACTTTGCGGCATTTGCTGTGTTAATATTGCAATATCAGTAGTGGATGTTTACATTTGACAATTTATCATTCAACCCTACTAATAACCAGAGGGCATGTATGTTAAATTATAGGCTTCCTCTCATAAAACCCTATGGACATCCAGTTTTCTCTTTTCAGAGGGTCAATATTTGCAACTTTAAGTCCACAGATTTAAAAAAGCACCATAACTATGATCATTTTTAACTTATATACACATACACACCATATATACACTAGTCTAGGGATAGGTGTTGCAGATGAGGAAGTCAAGTTGTCTAGTTGTTACAATACAACACAAACAATGTAAGCATTGAATGTCTCATCCTAACACCCAGTCACAGAGGTCATGTGGACCGGCGTTGTTAGATCAGTATGACAGAAACAAGCTGTCTGTCTTTATATATAATATCTTTGAAAACAGGATTTTCCAGTATTTCCCAACCCCTGAAGTCGTAGAGGAGATAAAGATAAAGACGATATGGTCAAGCAATCTCATTCTTGTGAACTTGTGCTAATATTACTGTGTAAAAAATGCATTTCCAGGAAGTAAGATCTGAATCACCAGAAGCATGAAAAGGCTCCAGACTGCTGAATGCCACACCGTTTTTAGTCATGGCAGCAGTGTGGTATACTGGAAGCTCAGGGCATGTGTCTTTCTCAGGACTTCTGGATGTCGAATAGCATCTCCTTCGTCTCTTATGCTTTATTATTTTAGTGTCTACTGAAGCAAACAAAGTAAAACTAGCCAGGTAAAAGCTTTGCCTTTAGAAGGGTATAGGGAAAGGAATACGTTGTTTTTGTCTTCTTCTAACTGAAGTAATCATTGTTTTCTAACTTTTTTTTAAAATAAATTTCTACAAACCTGTGACACTGTTTGTTTTTCTACGATGAAACGGTACTGAACTGAATCACTTGGTAAACGCAGTCAGATTGTCTTTGCCCAGACGACTACAAGATGGCTCTGTGGAGGCTGGGCGCACAGTTGCATCAGTGTGGTGATTTAACATAAAAATGAGCCAATTTTACCTGATTTAACCAGGTGACGTCTTTTAGGTCACAGAAATGACATACATGCTAACTTTTTAATGTTTTTTTTTTTTTTACCTTAACATGGCTACTAGACATGGCTTTTTGTGGAATCCTCGTGACTTACGTACACAGACATGAACTTCCTTTTTAAGGGCTTTTGGAACTTTTGGAACTTCCTAAGCACCAGTGTGTTTAGGAAGTGCTTCCACTCTGCTGTTGTCTGAGAATAGACTCGTGGGAAGAGTGTTTGTGTTGGTGACTTTACAGAAGCCAGTCGTGGCCCGACTCCAGGGCCGGTTTGCCTTTATGCCTTTGCCTTTCACTTCCTCTTACTGTACATTTTAAGTCCTCGGACTTTTGGTTTTGTGTGTTCTGCTTGCAAGTGTTAAGATAATAGATCAGATTTTTGTAGGAAGTAAGTGACCACTTTGACCAGCGTAGATAGCAAATAGTTATAGCTGATCAGTTACTGCTGAGTGTGTTTAATATTTGAGTGCAACAGATAAAGTATCTGAAATAATATGTGGTATGTTAAAGCTTTGTCATTCACTGCCACAGTGGGATTAAATATTGTAATATTTAAAAAACAGCTTGCTAGCTCAGCAGGTAACAGGAAAATTTAGTCTGAGAGTGGTCCTTTTTTTTTTACTCCAACCATCGGGTGTGGCTATATATTTGTAAAGCTTATGTGTATGCAGCAGTGTGACAACTACTGACATTATGAATTGTTTACTATTTCCTGTCAGGAGGTGTTCTTTAGTATCAGTGGAGCGTGTCTAAACATGTCGGGGTGCAGGCATGACCCTCTGTGTTTCTGTGTGTGTTTGAAACCTAGAAATATCTGTGAAAACATTCCTCAAGGGTTTTTGTACCTCTTGAAAAGAGTTAAATTGGTTTTTAGTATATAAGATGACTGGCTAGAGCAATGAGGCACAGCTAACGTGTTGAATAATGAATAGCATAAGAATTATGATGCAAAATGTAGCCAATTCTTTTATAGCCAGTCGGTGCAGTGTGTTGATACACATACTGTTTACAGTGCAGCATCAGTGCATTGACTACACTGACCTGCTGCACTCTGAGGCAATGGAGACTGGATGAGACTGAAGAAAAGGAGGTGACACTCAAAGCCAACAGCACAGAGGGAGTCTGTGGGGCAGGCATTACCCCCGACACACACACACACA